CTTTCTCTCACACGGCGCCTAAGCTACGACCTTGGCTCCCTGTTTATCTGCTCCTGCTGAGATGGGGCAGAAAACTCCAGCATGTTCTGTTCTCTTCTAATCAGACAAATAAGGCGATGACTTTCTGCGAACAGTATTTATTATAACTCAGCAGTATATTGTATCATAAAACAATATCATTCATTCACAATAAATCAGCAGTCTAATGTAATGCAAATCAGTTTAACAAATGTAATAGTTATCACCTTCTTCTAATTCAGGAGAATAATGCAAACTAAACTACATAATAATTCACAGTCTTTAATTAAGGGTCTAATATGGCATAAAATAATATTATAATCCTACAGGCACATTTTAAGGCAAGTATAAGTAAAGTAGCCAAAATAAAAAAGTTAAGAGACTGTAGATTATTGGAAATGATAACACATTTAATAAATTACAGTCTAAGCAAAGAGTTACATAAAGCAGGAATGTATGTCAGGGTTATGAAAGCAAGACCCAAATGCAAGACTTCCTGTAGAGTACAATGTGTTTATTTACAGGGAATAAAATGACAACAAGTGCAACAATCTTCCGCGTGTGTTTCTCTCTTCGTGTGCTCGCTCCCGTGCATGACTTCTCCAGTGTTCGAGGTGGTTGTCCTTTTCCTTTCAGTAACCATGAACAACATGCTCCACTTCCTCCACTCGTTTCCGCAACACTTTGGATATAAACACACTGCCGTTAATACACGCAATCCCCTCCACTCGAAACACTATCACAAAGTAGCTGGGAACTGAATGATTTCTCACAACGATCCAGCATCGAGTGAAGCTCAGCTCGTCTGTTAAGTAGCTCTTCAGATTAGGCTGATCAGTAACAGGTGAGTTTCATTCACTTTCAGGTGTGGCTGGCTTAACGGCAGGAAACTCTGCGGGCCTGACGTCTCCAGAAACCCCGGACACCGCTGTACACACACACACACCCATCAACTCACAAGTGAAAATGAGGGACGGTGAGTGTTGTGTTGGGCTCTTGAATAAAACTCCCGCTCAAGCGATAACGTGGAGCAACAACAATCTTTCTTTAATACAGCTTACTGTCGTGCTGTTTTACATGCCACCAATTTCCTGTTTAGTGGGTAAGTACTGCCGCCTAGTGGCGCATGATGTACATCAATATACACTGAACAAAAATATAAACGCAACACCTTTGTTACTGCTCCCATTCCCCATGGGATGGACGTAGAGACCTAAAATTCATATCTATAATGAACACTCACAGTCCAAGCCATTAAGGTTCAGATTAGGGATTTGGATGAAGCCTCAAAAGAAAATTTGAATTTGTGTTTAAAAAAAAAAAAAGTAATCAGCTCAGTATAAATAAGCAGATTTTTTGCCTTCTTTAGTTGATCGTAAGTTTGGATTCTTAGATTTGCAATTGCTTCTGCGTCAAGCTAAAGCTCCCACAAAGCTTTCTCAGCTGCATCTACTGCCTAATAACCCGGTGTTGTATTGACAAATTACTCCGCCCAATTTGGTGTTAATAGCTCTAAAGCCATTGCTTCTTTCTAGTTCGTGCTGTGTTAGTTGTCCATTCCATCTACAGCTTGACATAAGGTTCCCTACAGCTCAAAATTAATATTTTCTCTCACCCATAAACGACCAATTAACACTCTTTATGAGGTCCTTTTTATGACGTTTACGTTGTACTCGCCTATCGTTAGAATTTCACACCACATGGGAAAAGCCCAAAGTGCCTGAAAAATGTTTTTATGATTAGTGTGCACTGGTAAGTATATATATCCAGTAAGAAAACCAATAATCTCGCAATATCCCCAACGCCTTGATGCCACATTCATGGTATACAACAATACCATCGTACATAATCCCCTCATTCATCGTATTACCACCCCCGTACATGAACGTTCAAGTCACTTGTTCTAAAAATACAGTTGCGCAAACACTGTCACAACTCAGATTTTCAGAATTGTATGGCTGGAGGTACCCAGTTGGCTTCCTTGTGCACAGTTACCTCGTCAGAACTTGATGACTCATAGAGATTAAACTTGATCACATTCGT